ACAAGGGTTTGCTGAGATGCAGAGTTTATGACAAAGTTGCACTTTTGGCCATCCAGTTTTCCTATCACGTAGACACTATGTGTGCTTGGTATTTTACACCTGGCTGTTGGGACCTTCACGATGGGGGTTGGTAGGCATCCCTCAACACGAACCACTACTCGAGTCCTTGAGGCTGACTTGTTGATAATATTCTTCCTACACTGACTCCTCAAATGTCCGTGTTTTCCACAGTTCCAACAACCTTTCTGGATAGCAGCCTTTCCTGCTGTAGCATCTCCCCTGTGTTGAAGTTGCCAGCATTGAGCTCTCTTGTGCCCAGGTTTGTTACAGTGCCAGCAAGGTCCCTCAAACTTATCTGAAAGCTGACCTTTTCTGGCCTTGAATCCAGATGACTGTACCAACTTCGGTACATCTGTGCTGGACTTAACGTAGGATTCAGATTCGAGAGCTCAGGCCATTGCATCCTGCATGGTAGAGGGGTGTGCTTGCTTCACTTGTATCTTAAGTTGTGGACTGTCCAAGGCATCTATGAACTGATCCCTCAGCAACAACTTGAGGAGATCGGGTGGTGCAGTTGGGTAAGCCTTGTGTGCCATGCTTTCCAAGTCCTGTGCCAGCTCTTGCAGGCTCTCCCCTTTAGCACGGACTCTCGTCCTGAACCTGGCCCTGTAGACTTCTGACTGGTTTTGGGACTGAAACCCTAATGCAGACATATTAGCTGCAGGGTCTGGATAGGGCTTGTCATTGTCTGGGGCTGGTTAAGTCGATGGTAATGTATCCTCCTTGTGTAAAAGACAATAAATCGTCCTTTAACGTATCTAATTCGCTTTTAAATTTACTAATGTTTTCCATTTGAACTTCTTGTCACTGTTGTGGCAACAATATACACAAAAAATTAGAACCAAAAACAAAACTGACGTTTATTACATTTACCCGAATAATCACCAACATGACATTCAAGTTTTAGTTTCAATTTTCAATGCCTAGCCACAACTTCTCAAACCCTAACCCATATTGTTCCCCAGAAATCCACATTTCAAGCCATGCCTGTTATTAACCCCTATTGTTTTCTGAATCCCCGACTTTCAGCGGGTGGTCAGTTTTTGTTGCTCGGAACATGTCTTTTTTTTATAGCTAAACCAATTATTGACTATAAACTTTCAGTATGGCGTTAGTTACCACGAAAATAAGGGCTTAATGCCTAACTTCGACACTAGGCCGGAGTCGAGTATTACCGGGTAGCCCAATACCCGGCCAGGGCCGAATATCTGGCTGGGTACCCGTGGATCCCTAATATATATAATTCTTAGTTATTAATTAGTCCAGTATTGACTTCAAATAAAAGGCGTGTAAAAATACATATTTTCAAAATTATTCTTATTAATCAATTAATCCTTTACGGATTTCAAGTCAGAGATGTGTTAAAAACATTGATATATATATATTTTACCACTAGTAGTAGTATAAAAGCCCGTCAAAAAGGATGGGGACCA